TTTTTTTAAGCTTTCTCTACACAATAGAAAACAAGACAAGAGATAGTGAAATACCTAGTTGAAGAACCTAAATTCTACATGGCTCCTACTCTGTGGTCTGAATCTTTGAAACAGTACAACAAACTCTTGTTAAAGATATTCTCCTCACTCAATACACTCCTAACACCCAGCAATCAAAGACAGATGACCCACTTTATAATATAATGCTATCTATCAAGAGCACATTGTATACACTGTATGTTAGCTAACTTGACAATAAATTACATTTTATAAACAAACAAATAAATAGAATGCTATCTGGAAGTTTGACTCATCAGGTTTATATTGATAACACGACATAGCAGATAATACTATAGGCTTTGCCACTGGGCAACTTGGATTTGAATCCCAGTTCAACCACACAGCCGCTAGACAAGCTACATAACCTCTCAGATCCTCAATTTTCTCCTCTGCAGTATGTAAATGATAATGCCTACATAACAGGAAAAATGTGCCCCCAAATGTCAATTCCCTTCCTCTACTACTTTCCCCTTCTCTCTTGAAAATTTTGTTGCATTCATAAACTGAGCAAGTTTCAAAAACGGAGAAATTTCTTGAAATTGATACAAAAACAGATGTGTACCATCTAGAAACTAGAAACTAGAAAGGACCACCTAACATAGACAAGGAAAAACAAATTAGGAAACTGAGAGGTTTAACATAAATGTGTTTCCATGATCCCTAAATCTTGGGAAGAGCAAATGTAGAACAATTCAAGTCATAATAGTAAAATGGAAAATGATAAAATACTTCCAACAAGCTTAACCTAAACCCTTGATTAGAACAAAAGTGAAATACAATCCAGAAAGGGCTGACAAGTCCTGTTACTCAAAACAAGATGCAAGAAACTATGCACTAGTTTATTCTCCTTCCAGTCTGCTTATTTCTTTAAAAAAAGTTTTTTTAAGTGCACATGAAGGTGATTATACTTTTTAGGTATATATGAAAGAAAACAGGGGCGCTGGATGGCTTAGTCTAAGTGTCTGACTTGGGCTCAGATCATGATTTCACAGTTCGTGAGTTCCAGCCCTGCGTCAGGCTCTGTACGAGTAGTGCAGAGCCTGCTTGGAATTCTCTCTTTCTCTCTCTCCCAACCCCACTTGCATGCGCCTGCTCTCTCTCTCTCTCTCAAAAATAAACTTTAAAAAAAAAAAGAAAGAAAGAAAGAAAACAAATAAGCCAAGGTCCAGGATCTCTGTTAAGCTCTCTTCCACTAAAGAGGAACCTATCAATATCTATTCAACAAATAAATGCCAAGTATCTAATATCTGTTAGCAAGTGAAGCTTTAGAAACTCAGCCCTGACATGTACCCTTCCTAATACAGGAAAACTTCATATAATAACATCTCAAAATTAGCTGCATGGTCCTGAGACCCAATAATCTATAATTGCTCCCTTACTATAATTCCCAAGTCTGAAAATGTTCCCCCAATGCTTCGCACTTCCTCATTCTTCTAGATCTGTCACTACCTAATGCTGTGCCTCTTAGACTTGGTGAACACTCAGCACACTCATCTAACAGGATCCATCTCTCGGGTTGGGTCTGTTTATTTTCTCCTCATATCGCATCCCAGGTCTGGTGACTTTGAAACTTCAGTTTCAATGCTGGCACTCTGCAGCAAAATCCTTGATCTCATCCTATCCTTTAGATAGGTCCCTAAGGCCCTGATGCCTTTTCTTCCTATACCATGGACATCAAGGTCATTCACAGACTGTGTTAAACTCCAGTCTACGGTAAATATAGAGAACAAACTGATGGCTACCAGAGAGGAGACAGGTGGCAGGATAGGTGAATTATGTGATGGGGAGTAAGAAGTGCATTCCCCGTCATGAGCACTGGGTGCTGGGAAACTTTATGTAACACTGTATGCTAACTATACTAGAATTTTTTAAAAAACATCTCCAAGTCTAGCATTCTTGGATCTCAAAGACCCTCTCAGCCCCTAACTGAGGTTTCAATGTTGCCAAAGATGGCACCCTCGGGGTCTGTACGCAACTCTACTGGGCCACGCATGTTCCACGGAGGGTACCTCTGAGGTTAGGAGTGCCTCCCACTCCGGGCCGTGCACAGGCTACCCCCACAGCACCTGCCAGGCCATCACCCAGTCTTCCCCTTAAGGTCTCTAGGCTCGCCCCCGGGCCTCCACCCCACGCCTGCATCAGAGAGGGTCACCTCCCGGCCGCCCCAGCCCGAGACGCGCGGATCCCCGCAGCCTCCGATTCCTTCATCACCCCCCAGGCCGGAGCCAGCGCGACCAATAAGGTGCCAGGTCCGCGGCCTCCCCGCCACCGACCAATCACGAGCGAGCCCCCCCGCAGTCGCCATCCGCCAATGGGAGAAAGCCCGCGGGCCGGGCCGACGAGGCGCACGGACCCCAGGAGCGCGACGGCGGAGACAGCGGCGGGCCTGGCGAGAACACAACATGGCGGCGGGCAGGCCGGACCGAACTACTGCGGCGGCCGCGAGAGGGAAGTGAGGTCTCCACCGAAGGCGGGAAGCGCTGCCCCTCCCCCAGCCGCCGCCGCTCGCCTCTCACCCTCCCTCCCACAGACGCTCCCGCACACTCACACGCCTCTGCTCAGGAGTCCAGGAAAGAGCAGGAGCCGCCCCCGCGCTCCTACGGAGTCGGGCAGTGCAGAGGCCTGGGCACGGCGGAGGGGAGGGGGAAGCGTGCGTCACCGAGAACGGAGCGCGCGCGAAGCGGGGGCACAAACAAGATGGCGGCCACGCCGTTTGCACTGTCTACCCCTCTTCCCCTCCCCCTCCCTTGGCGCCTTGACTCCCTCTATCTTGAAATGCGCAGAAGCTGAGTTGTTTGAAATCTCGCGAGAATTAGGAAGGGGCGACGACCTGGGGGGCGGAGTGAGATCCGAGAGCCTTCTGACCCCACCCCTTTCTAGGGGATACGGAGGCGTCTCCTGGTGACTTCCACTAAGCGTTCTAAGCTTGCGGACTTTTGATGTGGTTCGCGCCCTTGAATGTTAGGAAATACGGGAGGGTATTTTTGTTTTGTTTTTTGGGGTTTGTTTAATTTGGAAGGAAAGAGAGCTGGGGGACGAAGAACGACATGGGGATGCCAGATTACGTGCGCGGGTAAAGAAGATAGCTACCAGTACCAAAAAGGGGATTTATCCCCCAAACTAAAATATTATACTCCAGAGTAAAGAACAGCACCTCCCAGGAATTGTTAGCTTGTAACCGTACATCGACATAGACACTGCTTTTCTCATTTAAATGCAGTTTAAAACTTCATCAAGACAATTGAAAACCCCAACTTCGGTGGACATTACATCTTTTTATCCGTTTAATCTCCATAACCACTGGATCCCAAGGCGTTAGTATTTCTGCTTTACAGATGATAAAACTGATACTCAAAGGGTCAGGTGACTTGATCAAAGTCCCACATCTAGTAAGTGTCAAAACTCAATTTAAGTAGCTCCAATACCTGTAGATAAATTGACCAAATATGTATTGAATGGAACTATGTACATTGAACCTACGCGTTAGGTGTAAGCACAGAGAGAAATGAAACTACTCGTGCTAGTAGTTACCTTGAATTTTATAAATGACCTTGGAGCCTTACTGAGACTAGGGTTGCAGGGGTCTTCAAACAATATAATCAAGACACTATTATTATTTCTTCCCTTTGAGTGTATGACCCTGGTGATAAAGGTGTTGAGTGTACTGGAATAAGCCCTTGACTTGAATTCAGGAAAATTGTTTTCAGATCCAACCTGAATAAATCTCACTTCAAGCACTCAATAAATATTTGATGAATGCATGAACAAAACCTAACTAGCTAGAAGACACCTGACTTCACTGAGTCTCAATTTCTTTGTCTGTAAAATGATCTAATTCCTATCTCCTGGGAGTGTTGGGGAGATTGAATGAAATAGTGTAAGGGAGAGTGCTTTGCAAATTGCAGAAGTGTCATAAAGAAGTTAGTGATAATGATGACATTTTCAGACATGAGAAATGGCATTAAAAATTCAAAACAGAGATGGGGCGCCTCGGTGGCTCAGCTGGTTGACCGTCTGACTTCCACTTAGGTCATAACCTCACAGTTGGTGAGTTCAAGCCCTGCATTGGGGCTCTCTGGGTTCAGCACAGAGCCTGCTTCAGGTCCTCTGTCCCCCTCTCTCTCTGTGCCTTCCCTACTGGCACTCTGGATCTCAAAAAATAAGCAAACATTTAAAAATTTTCAAAACAGAGAGATCCAAAATAAACAGTATGTTAAGATGGTACAAAGATGAGCTTAGCTAATGGAAAAAAGCTAAGTGAGTCCTTCTACAAATACCTATTAATTATTACATATACTTTGTTGCAAAGTAAATATGTGTAGGAACCAGCATAAATTAGTATTATTAGATATTGTTTAAGTATTGACAGCACATAGGGGCTGCAGTCAGTTTCTCTCCAAGAACCTGGAAATCAGGTTGCCCTGAGAATTAAACTAATAAGAATTTCCATAGTAGAAGAAATCAGCCAAAGGTAATCATAAACATATTGAACGACAAGTAGTGCTCAAGCATTGCTCTAGCAGATTTGCAGTCCATAAACCATCCTGGAGAGAGCTTTCTGTGCTAGATATTAACCAAAGTTGCTAATTTGTGAATAGTAGTTCCCAGGAGTGGGGAGTTCTCTGGGGGCTTGGGACAGCAAGCATTTGTCAGTACAAAACCATTTCAGTATTTTAATAGTAGTACAACTGGTACCAGTCATACTGGTACACAGACTGAGTACTAGTCCTTGTAGACTATTATCATCAATATTCTCTGCCCCTGCCTTTCTAAAACCCTGCCTGTCAGGTCTGTCCCTAGGAGATCATACTTCTCACACTAATGTCATCAAGCTTGGCATTATTTTGATCGATGAAATGTGAATCCATCTGAGCAGAAATGTATGGGCCATCTAATGATTCCACCATATTATTTTCTTCTGCCATGAGAGCAGCGTGTCCCAAATAGAACTGCTTCTCCAGGGTTGGTCCCAGACTGAAGATGTGCAGAGCCACAGTTGATATACATGAGCTGTAATGTAAGGTGAGTGAGAAATAAGCCTTTGTTGTAAGCCAATGAAACTGGTTTAGCTGCTTGTTACTGTAGCAGAATCTAGCTAGCCTCAGCTGACTAATACAACCCTAAAATTAGCTCTCTGGCAGTAAGCGGAGAGCTTCTCTACAAACATGATCAAAAAGCAAACCAAACTCTGGGCCAGGTCATACAGGAGGAATCTCGTGAAGGCAAATGTGATTGTAATTTAATAAATATATGCCTAGTCAATCTCATCACCCAATCTTTCTGTATCCTATTTGGAGACAGATTCTGTGAATCAAAGGGCTTAATCAGCCATGCCAGCCCAAAACAAGGCAGTCACAGAAGGGAACATTAGCACTGCCCTTCTAAGCCCTACCTCCATCACGCTGACCAATACATTAGGATTTCCTTGTCCATGTCATCCCTACAGTGGGTGAGAGTATCTCAGGCTGCCTCAGCTAAGAAATTCTTAAGGTCAGCGTGCTTCCCTGATGTGATTCTGTGCTCACCCAGCAAATATCTCACCTGTGGGGACAGAATTTCGTGATCTACTACCTAGAGGATAATTACATTTTTCTATTTTTCTATTTATCTATTGGATTCTGTCTTCTATAAGTGTCAGTTTCTGTGAACTTGGTGGATACAAGAGGCCCCTTGAGAGAGATTTCACACTGCTTAATTATTAAAATCAGGCTTCTGGACTGGCAAAGTTGAAGACCAGTTCTAGGATGTTGGTAAATTCTTTGCAGTTATAGCCCTATAGAGTGACCTGTCTCGAGGGCCAGCTAGGCTACCCTCTGCTTACCTCTCTATCTCCCTGTGTGCCTTCTGTGACCCAAAAGGAAATCAGTATGAGGCGTCTGGGTGGCTCAGTCAGTTGAGCGTCTGACTCCTAATTTGGGGTCAGGTCATGATCTCACCGTTCATGGGATGGATCCCCACTCAGGTTCTGCGCAGGTAGCAAGGGACCTGCTTGTAATTCTCTCTCTCTCCCTCTCTCTCTCTCTCTGCTTCTCTCAAAATAAATAAATAAACTTTAAAAAGAAAAGAAAAGCAGGAAGTGTTAAAGACAGACATAATTCACAAGCGATAGGAGTTCAAAAAAGGGGAGTGATTATTTCCACTTTGTATGAAACAGAGAGAGGAGTTCAGTAAAGATTTGCAAGGATGTGACCTTTGAACGGGGTCTTGAAAATATGAGAACTAGGGGAAGAGCATGCTCTTTGTAGGTGGCCCCTGGAGCAAATATAGGCAGCAGGAGATCACTTGAGGAAACATAGAGTGTGAGGAAAAGGAAGGAGAATCATCTGGAAAGTTACATATGGTCAGAGTAAGGCTCTTGGGTTTTATTTTCTGCTAAGTAGAGTTAGTGTGGAATTTTTTTTGTTTTTGTTTGTCTCACCACTTTAGCCAATTTTTAACATAATTTATTGTCAGATTGGTTTCCATACAACACCCAGTGCTCATCCCAACAAGTGCCCTCCTCAGAGCCCATCACCCACTTTCCCCTCTTCCCCAGCCCCCATCAACTCTCAGTTTGTTCTCAGTCTTTAAGAGTCTTGTGGTTTGCCTCCTCCCTCTCTGTAACTTTTTTCCCCCTTCCCGTCTCCCATGGTCTTCTGTTAAGTTTCTCAAGATCCACATATGAGTGAAAACATGGAATCTGTCTTTCTCCGCCTGACTTATTTCACTTAGCATAATAACCACATTGCTACAAATGGCCAGATGTCATTCTTTCTCATTGCTATGTCCGCTTTAGCCATTTTTAAGTATATAGTTCATTCGCATTAAGTACATTCACATTGTTCTATAAATACCAGCACTATCCATCTCCAGAATTGTCCATCTCCATCATCCCCTATTGAAACTCTACAGCCATTAAACAGTGATTCCCCATCCTCCCTTCCTCCAGCTCCTGGTAACAACTGTTCTCTTTTCCATCTCTTTGCATTTGACTACTCTAGATACCTCATGTAGGTGGACTCATTCAATATTTGTCCTTTTGTGTCTGGCTTATTTCACTTAGCATAATGTATTCAAGGCTAATCCACATCACACCAAAATTTCTTTTTATGGCCGAATGTAGTATTTTTTGTTATGTATATATAACACATTTTGTTTATCATTTATCCCTAAGTGGACATTTGGGTTGTTTCCATCTTTTGGGTACTGTGAATAATGCTGGCTGTGAATATTGGTGTACAATTATCTGACCCTGCCTTTAACTCTTTGGGGTATATACCTAGAAGTGAAATTTCTGGATCATATGGTAATTCTGTTTAATTTGTTGAGGAACTGCCATACTATTTTCCACCATGACTACACCATTTTACATCCCAGTAATAGAAGCTTTTACAAAGGGATTGACATGGTCAAATCTGCATTTAAAGACAATCTGGCAGAGATAAGAAGATGGAACAGGATTGAGGCACCTGGGTGGATCAGTCAGTTAAGTGTCCGGCTTTGGCTCAGGTCATGATCTAACGGTTTGTGGGTTTGAGCCCCACGTCAGGCTCTGTGCTGACAGCTAGCTAAGAGCCTGGAGCCTGTTTCAGATTCTGTAGCTCTTTCTCTCTCTGACCCTCCCCTGCTCCCCTGCTCATGCTGTCTCTCTCTCTCTCTCTCTCTCAGAAATAAATTTTTTTAATTTAATTTAATTTTATTATTCTTTTTTTAATCTTTATTTTTTTCTTACAAATAGTTTATTGTCAAGTTGGTTTCCATATAACACCCAGTGCTCATCCCCACAAGTGCCCTCCTCCATGCCCATCTCCCCCCTCCCCCCCACATCCATCAGTCCTCAGTTTGTTTCTCAGCATTCAAGAGTCTCTCATGGTTTGCCTCTCTCCCTTTCCCCCACCATTTCCCCCCTTCTTCTCCCCCTTGGTCTTCAGTTAAGTTCCTCCTAATCCTCCTATACATGCAAACATATGATATTTGTCCTTCTCTGCCTGACTTATTTCGCTCAGCATAACACCCTCAAGGTCCATCCATGTTGCTACACATGGCCAGATTTCATTCTTTCTCATTGCCATGTAGTATTCCATGGTATAGATAAACCACATCTTCTTGATCCATTCGTCTGTTGATGGACACTTAGGCTCTTTCCATGTTTTAGCTATGGTTGAGAGTCCTGCTGTGCACATTGGGGTACATGTGCTCCTATGCATCAGCATATCTGTATCCCTTTCCTGAGGAAACTCCACTCTGTTTTCCAGAGGGGCTGCACCAGTTTGCATTCCCACCAACAGTGTAGGAGGGTGCCCGTTTCTCCACATCCTTACCAGCATCTAGAGTTCTCTGATTTGCTCACTTTAGCCACTCTGACTGGCGTGAGGTGGTATCTCAGTGTGGTTTTGACTTGTATTTCCCTGATGAGGAGGGATGCTGAGCATCGTTTCATGTGTCTGTTGTTATCTGGATATCCTCTTTGGAGAAGTGTCTGTTCATATCTTCTGCCCATCAGAAATAAATTTTTTAAAAAACATTAAAAAAAAAAAGGTGGAACGGGGAACAGGATTGTAAGATAACCACTGGAGACTTTCACAGTAGTTCAGGAAAGATGCAATGAGCTCCTGAATACATCAGTAGCAATGAAAATGGAGGGAAGAGGGTATAAGTGTAGAGGTGATATTTCCAAGGTAGGATTGGAAGGACTGGACTTCTGATTGCCTATTTCAGGGGATGGGGGAGAGGGGATCAAGAGGTGTTTAGTATGACTTCTAGGTTTCACAGTTAGGAGGATGGAGGTCGCCAGATGAAGACTTCTGGTCTTTTCCAGAGCATGGAGAAGTCATGAGTTCAGGTTGGAACATGTAGAATTTGAATTATAAATGAGACATTGTAGGCTATGGGTGGACATTCGTCATCTTGCCTGCTCAAGGTCTTTGCCCTTTCAACTGGAGTGGCCCTGTACATCTTTTCTTCTTTTAGACTGTAGAACCATCCTTCTTTATCTGCACGTAGTGCTGGGCTGGGTCAGTGTGTGGCTATGAGAATGCACTTTTCAGATCTCCAACTGGGAGAAATATAATTCAGCAGCAGCCACACTGCTGAGCTATGAAATCTATCACCCCTCACTCCCAGGCTTCACTCCCCATGGGCTGGTCCTGGCCACTGACACCCCAGCAGGAGTTTCAGGATGGGATTTTTTTTTTCCAGGATAAATGGATACTCTTCTGATGAGTGACTTTGGCTCGAGGACTCCTCAATGGCCTTGGCACACTTTCCTGAAAACTGCACTGCAGACTAAAACTCTTCCACCTAGAACCCCTTCCTTCTCTCACCTTCCCTCAGGGTCAGATCTACATCACTGTCTGGTGGTCCTCGCTCAGTCTTTCTCAGCTTCTGCCCCATTTCCTCTCACAGGTGTTTTTTCATAATAAATTACTTGCACTTAATCCTGCCTTGATATCTGATTTTCTGAGGATCTGAACTAGCATAAGGGGAAGGAGGATGGGATATTTCCTTCCACGGTGTACCTTCCATATCCCATCAGTCATAGGGACAGGCATATGACCCAGTCTGACTGATCACAATGATCCCCACATCTTGGCCCAGTGCTTCCTCAGTCTCTCAGTGTCATCCATTCTCATGGCATTAGTTATTTGGTCCACCTCACCCACAGGCACAGCTGATCAACTCTGAGTGAGGTCTCACAGCTCTGCTACCTGAGGCCAACTAATCACAAACGTGTATTCTATGGCTTCTGCAACTTCCAGACCCTGGTGACACACTTCCTCACAGAACAGAAGCTCTGGCTTCCTGAAGGGGCTGATGAAGCAACCTAGAAGTACAGGAGATTTAACTACCCATAGGGCAAAGTGATCACTGGGAGACGAGACAGGAATTGGCAGGATAGAAAAATCCGCTCTCTTTTCCTTCTTCTGATGGACTGTTTTAAGATGGAATTTCTCTCTACAACCTGTCTAGAGACATTCCGCATGGCCAAGTAGGTGGACCTCTCAAGAGAGTAGCCGTGTCTCTTCACAGCTCATTGTGATTGTGAATAAGTAGCACACATTTCCTTGCATGACTTCCCATCTTTTCCTGCTTCCCCTCTCCCCTCATTCTCGCTGCCCTAGAAATGTGCATCCACAAAAGCCTTTAGTACATAATCCGTTCTTCAGGCTTTGTTTTCTAGGAACCCTTGCTAAGACAGGTCACAGTTTCTGAACAGATGAGCACATAACCCACACTAAGCAAAGCCAAGCCCTCTAAAAGATGTGAAATATAGATACAGTAGAGACAGGACTTTTCTTCTGGAGATCTTGAGCCATAAGGATCTGTGGGTGGCCATCATTTCTGCTTCATGAAGAGAGCCTGCATGGGCATGAAGGGATCACAGAGGAAGGCAAAGCTCAGAGAGAGAGAGAGAAGGGACAGAGAGCCCTGACATCCTCTGAGTTTCTAGATCCAACTCTCCCCAATCTGTGTCACTGTTTTGTCATTTCTTGATCTCTCTGAAGACAGGTTTTCCTGACCAAGATTAAAGAAAACATGGTCAGGGGCGCCTGGGTGGCTTAGTCGGTTAAGCGTCCAACTTTCGCTTAGGTCATGATCTCGCGGTTCGTGGGTTCGAGCCCTGCGTCAGGCTCTGTGCTGACTGCCAGCTCAGAGCCTGGAGCCTGTTTCAGTCGGTGACTCCCTCTCTCTCTGACCCTCCCCTGCTCACGCTGTCTCTCTCTCCTAGAAATAAATAAAAATATTTAAAAAAATAAAAATAAAAAAATAAAGAAAACATGGTCACCAGTGGATCCCGGGTCACCTGCATTCAAGATATCAGCCAAGGGACTAAGCTTTTAGGCTCCATTCTAAATTTCTGGGAGAGGTGTTGCTGCTTGGGCTATAGCTTTGGCCAGGTGTCCACCCCTGAAGCAATCAACATTGTGGAGAGGGGCACAGGGTCATGTAGAACATGGCTATAATGTGATCGCATTATACTGTGACCCTATGAGTAACGATGTGATTGCAAGGGATGGAATAACACTTCCCAGAAAAGTGGGAGTAGAGAGTTGGGCAGATCAAAGAATGGCTGCCCACCCTCTGAGAATAAATAAGGGGGCAGAGGGTAAAGAGAATAAGTCAGAGGACAGAATGGAGTCTAACCCATTGCTACCCTATGCTTTCCTGAACCAACGCTGTTCGATAGAACTTTCTGCAATGGTGAAAATGGTTTCTATTTATGCTGTTCAACATAGTAGGCATCAGTCACATAGGGCTGCATAGCACTTGACAAAAGTTACTGCAATTGAGAAACTGAATTTTTATTTCATTTTATTTTAATTTCAATTTAAATAATATATGACTTAATGACTACATACTGGACAGCTGAGGTCTAGACTGCTGGTCTGCTTGGGAAGGGAGTATGGAATGTTGGTTGAGGCATGTGCTTTGGAGTCAGCCTAGTCTGGGTTCGAGTCCCAACTCTACCTCTTAGTGGTATAAGTTGAACAGGTTACTTAACCTTTCTGAGCTATAGAGGTGAAAGATACAAAGAACAGTACATGATATGTGATACCAGAAAGATCTGCAAAGGCACAAAATGTCCATTGAATTTGGCCATTAGGAGACTGAGTGGATTCAGACAGAAAGTGTTAAAAGTATGATGGGGTAAAATCCAGACCAGCAATTTACCTGTCCTTTAGACATCTGGTAAGTTTCTTTCCTCTGGAGGGGGATCGCAGGCAGGGAGAGATAAGAAACACAAAAATTTACTCTTAATCCTTGTGGCCCATGGACAGTTGAGAACTGAAAGGCATGTTCTGAAAGTAGGGCTCCAAAGTCAAGCCAGAAACACAGAATCAAACACTATCAGTCATTAGGTTTGCAGTCAAAGATGGGGCTGTCTAGACCAAGGAAGCCACAAGGAATGAACATCTCCTATACATCCCCTCATTACATAACACTTACTGTTGACTAGATTGTGAGTCCTTCAGGGTTCAGAGCCTTGTTCATCTTGGTATCTACAACATCTAGTAAGTTCCTGGCACCATAGTAGGAGCATACCTAACATCTATAGAATGAATGAGATGTGAGTAAGCCAGTTGACTCCCTGATGCATGTTAGATACTCTATAAATATTAAGTACATTATCAAAGAAAGAAAACTCTGCAGTAAGAACATGGCCAGGGAATACTTCCTGGCTTGGAAGCAGTTGGTAAGGTCCTTAGCATATTGCCTGGCACAGAGGAATTAATTGCTCAACAAGTGGCCACTATGGTAATTATTATTAGTAGACGGGGAGAGGTAAGGTTTTGTATAAGGACAGGAAAAGTCCTCAATCATAGTAAGAGCTAACATGTATTTATCTAATTTAATCCTTTAAAAATTTTTTGATGTTTATTTATTTTTGAGAGAGACAGAGAGAGTGGCAAAGAGGTAGAGAGTGAGGGAGAAAAAGAATCTGAAACAGGCTCCAGGCTTTGAGCTGTCAGCACAGAGCCCAACATGGGGCTTAAACTAACGGAGTGCAAGATCATGACCTGAGTCCAAGTTGGACGCTTAACTGACTGAGCCACTCAGGTGATCCTAATTTAATCCTTAAGCCAACTTGATAAAGTGGATTTTATTAGACTAATCTTACAGATGAGAAAAATTAAAGATGAGGTGTAATTTATCCAAACTTAGCCAGCTCAGAAATGGCAGAGCTAGTATTGAACTTTGAGCTTAATCACTCCAGATTTCAGGCTCTACCAACAAAGGAGCCAGGGAGCAGGATTCTCAAATGTGGAGTTTAAGGAAGGCAGTTCTTGAGCCAAAATTCACTTGTGATTTCAGGGCACCTGGGTGGCTCAGTCAGTTAAGGGTCCAACTCTTGATTTCAGCTCTTTGATCTCACAGTTATAAGACTGAGTCTCACATTGGGCTCTGCACTGGGCATAAAGGCTGCTTAAGATTCTCTCTCTCCCTTTCCCCCACTCATCCTCTCTCCCTCTTTCTCTCTCCCTCAAAAAAAATTCAATTTCTGATTTCTATCTCTTCACATAAATTGTGATGCCTTCTCCTCCCTTCCGTACCCACTACTTGCCTTCTTGACAGAGTCTTCATCCCTTCTACTGAGTTTACCCCTAGGTCACCCTTCTACTTCCTATTCCACTCAACCGTATCTACTCTGGGTTGACTTAAGAAAGTGCCTGTTGATATGGGACCAAAGGGGACTTTTTATTTATTGTTTTTGTTTTGTTTTGTTTTGTTTTGTTTTGTTTTGTTTTGTTTTAAGAAGAGAGACTCTAGGGGCTCCTGGGTGGCTTCAGTTGGTTAAGCATCCGACTCTTGATTTTGGCTCAGGTCATGATCTCATGTTTTGTGACATCGAGTCCTGCTTTGGGCTCTGTGCTGACAGTGCATAGTCTGATTGGGATTCTTTGTCTCCATCTCTCTGCTCCTCCCACACTCACTCACTCTCTCAAAAATACAAGAAATTTAAAAATTAAAAAAAAGAGAGACTCTAGAGCTTTTTTATAAACTAAACGTTCCAGTAGAGAGGCAGAAATTGGCAATGCAAACAAGACTATCTACAGAGGTAAGTCCTTGGTGTTCTTGTCTCAGGTTGGAAAGAGGTTCACCTCTGATAAGTGATGGGACACTGTAACTTTCCTTCAGAGCAAAGGAAGACAGGGACTATGGGTACAAAAGCAGGAAAGTTAACGAAAGTTAGCATGCTTAAAATCAAGAGGTAATGGGATGGTATAGGGCAATGTTTTTCAGACTGCAGGTTGTAACCCTTAGATCATGAAATCATTTAGAAGTTTAGGAGAAGCTTTATTTAAAAATGGATTAGAATTGAAAAAGTTGAATTAATTGCACATAGCAGGGCAAAGACAGTGAAAAATGTTGTGAAGCTTTATTTCAGTGATGTGTACAGCTACATGTGTACTGAATTGATTTCTTATTGAAGGTACAATAAAAAAAATGCTTAAATGCCACTGGTCCAAGATGTGACCATGGGAAAAGAGGCTGATTTCTGGAACTTTCTTTCTCTCCCAGGTATTTGCATGATGTTCAAAAATTGGTCTTGCTTTGTGGTTACTAATAGGCACCATAAAGGGCGCAAGACTGATCAACTATGCCAGACCTTCCTACGCAGTGGCCACAGCATGTGGGCTATGTGCCCCTAAATTAATCTCCCAGTCGTCTTCAAGGCTGCTCTTTCATCCTGGTTCCTGCTCCTCTTATTGTCCCAAGATGACTGCCAACAGCTCCCAAGCCTGCCTCTTCCTCATTCATTGCTAGCAAGGAAGAGACAGTCCGTGTGCCAGACTTCTCAGCAAAAATCCTGAGATTCCCTCTGATTGGACTGGCTGATTCATATGACCACCCTGAAACAACCATTCTGACCAGTGGGATTGACTGGCTCAGCCCTGCTCTGCTCCCAGGGAGCCAGCTTCCTAGAAACACATGGATCCTAAAAAAGGGAAAATGGAGTCATGAGGTAATCAACTAACGTCCAATACCTATGGCCTTTAAGGTGCCAAAATGAGGTGTAAGTTTCAGTAGCGTTTGTGCTGGTCATTTGTCTATTGCTCTAGCCTTTCCATGCTCTGCTTTGTACTGAAGAATGCTGGGCCCTGAAAACTACATTTCCCAGACTCCCCTTTGCCAGCTGGCTTCCTGTCAGAACGGGAAGTACAGGTGAGAAATTGTATGGCAAGAGATGGGACGGCAGCAGGACAGACAAAGTCATTTTCTCTCTGCATCCACTGGAGACTCTGGCAGCAGCTGTGGTTATGGGCTCAGAGACAGTCGGGATTTCCAGCAGTGGTGGGTTCCTGCCACAGGCTCCAGCAGTGTTGGTGGCCCTGGAGGGTCAGCAGTGGGTCCCTCCAGTGACCTCTGGCAGTTCTGCCAGCAGCATCATTTCAAAAGCTAAACTCCCACACTGTCAGCAACAAGTGCACTTCAGGATCCAAGAACACCCTTCCATTTGACCTTCCCAGCCTGGTAGAAGCTTCCTGCAGCTCTTAATCTCTAGTCTGCCCCACCTTACCCTTTTGCTCCTACAAGCCAACAGGTTTCTAAGCTGTCCCCTGGAATTAATTCCCTCTGTTAGAAATTCCAAGTACATTTTCTGTTCTCTTGTGTTCAATTGGATAGGCTGCCTTGACTCATTTCCTAGTTGTGCTGTTTGGAGTTGCTGGGCTGGGTGATGCCACAAGAGAAGCACACTACTCTCTTGGGGGCACTGGGGAAGGAACAAGGGCAGAGCCTGGAGAAAATACAGAAAAAGCTTCCCACTCCTTTTGCTTCCTCGCCTACCCCTGACTATTGGAACTGTGAGGTGAGAACTTACTGCTGTCTCCCAGGATAACTTGAATCCGTGTTGTGATTGGGGGGAGTGGGCTCATTCTGACCGGGTGACAGTGCAGCAATGAGGACAGTTTGCAAGGGGCCCCAAACGGAGGGGCCAGGGCAGGGTGTCCTCACTGCAGAGTAGAGTTTAGGAAAGGGGTATGGGCAGGAACTATTACTTCTGCTTCCTCTTTTTCAGAGGCGCTGGTTGAAGGATGGATTCATGGTTCTCAACCTTTCCTGTCTTGCCTTCCATGAAGCGCTCTGTAATCAAACCAAGAACACTGACTCTTCCCAAAGCATTTATCTTTGCCAATATGTAAGGAACCGTTACCAAATGCTTGCATTCTAACCCTGTGTGCTCCTGGCACTACCCATGCCAGTGTAGGGTAGCCAGGTCTCTGCAGGGACAAGAGAGGTAAGATGGTAAATTGTCCCCAGAGGTCTCAAGAGGGCAGCAGTGTGGGGGCGCCTGGCTGGCTCAGCTGGTTGGCCATCTGACTTCAGCTCAGGGCATGATCTCGCAGTTGGTGAGTTGGAGCCCCACATCAGGCTTGCTGCTGTCAGCACAGAGCCTACTTTGGATCCTCTGTTCCTCCCACCACACCTACACGCTCATGCTCTCTCTTTCAAAAGTAAATAAAACCTTAGAATGGGGGTGGGGAGCAGTGGACAACACAACGTCTCTCAGAGGTGCCCTGCCATGGCCAGTATTGTTTTGCAAGGCGTGTCCCACTTAAGTGTAATCCATGATTGGAAACTTTCTAGACCCAACTCAGCCATCTACCTGCCCTGTGATCTTGGGCAAGTCACTTAATCAGGCTCAGTCTCATTATTTTCTTCTATTTTGAAGAGACTGGAGGGATCATTTTTTAAGTTCTTTTAAAATAAATTGTTTTAAGGGGGGGTGTTGGGATGAGAGAAATGATAGGTATTATCCTCTATGCCCTTCTTCTGGCCCATCCTCCCTGGGTTTCTGTGAGTATCAAATAAGACAACAAGCATGAAAATGCTCTGAAAAGTACAAAGCACCACACAAAAGCAAGGAAGTATTATCAACATAGTTGTTAGCTTAGAAAGACGAAGGCAGGGCACAGGCTGAGAGCCAAACAGCTGGAAGGCAGGAAATCTTAGCACCAAAGAAGGAAACTTTCTTTGTTCACAATCTTCCTGGAGTGGCACTTTCTTTGGCGCAGACCTGGCACTGGACTCCTCTGAAATGCTGAAGTGGGTCCAGGAAAGCGTTAAGGCAGTAGGTAGGGCATTTGGCGGCCAAAGACACTGGAGAAACACCAGCCCTGGTTTCTCAGTTCCTTTGTGATCCAACAAAGGATGCACTGGACAGGGGGAGGCAGACTATCAGCAGGGCTCAGGTTCAAAGTCAGGTACGTGTTGGATCCTCCCACAGGCTCTTTAACCGGTCACCAAGCTATTTCGGGAGCCAGGATGTCATGGAACTCTGTAACTAATACTGAACTCAGTTGCCAACAACCTAAAATTCATTCTCTCTACATGGTGTCCAAAGCAAACACTGATCTGGAGAAAACCATAGACAGGGTCTATCAAACTGAGGCGCAGGGAGGGGCAGAGACTGAACAAGATAACAAGTAGAGTCAGCCTCATGGGGCTGCAAGGCACAGAAATCTACCCAATGTAGCTCAAATATAAGGGATTTTCTTGTAAGGACTGGAATTGAAATGCCAGCGGAATGAGGCAGCTCTAGGATGCACTATTCTAATCATTCTCCCTCCCCTGACACCCCATCTCTACACAGAGATGCCCTTTTCTCCTCTTCCTGCTAACCAGCTTCTGCTGCTGCTTGGTCTCTGCGCCCTCTTATCTTGGCTTGCACATGGCTTTACTGGCCAAGGCTCACTTGTCTCTGACCTCCCTGATCCAACTCCCTCTGCTACCTGACAGCTTCTTTCTGTTCCTTGGTTCAAGAGAGTCTCTAATTGGCCTCTCTCAGATTGTTGTGGTAGGCCATTAGTTAAAGGTCACGAGCTAATATTTGAAACGGTAACCCTTGGCTCTGGTGCTGGCCCCATTTGTTCAAGTCTAGAAGCTGAAGGGGCCAAGTGGTCTAAAGCACGGGCTCAATGGGGTTTGTGGTTTGGGCAGCTTTTCTTCCAAGTGAATGTAAGTTGGGCAGGCACTGTACCATCCCTGGGACCGTGAGACTAGAGCCCAAGGCTCCAGATTTCCTGCCCAGAACTTTTTCCATAGAATTGGTTATTTCTTTGATTTATGCAGCAGATATGACTTAGTGCCTGTTCAATGTCATTCATAAAGATCTTCTTCCTCCTTCCTCTCCTCCTCCTCCTCCTCCTCCCTGCCCCAAGGGATGTATGGTATAGTGAAGATAAAGGCAGGAGAATAATTAGAATACATGAGTGCTTTAGAAGAAGTATAAACAAAATATTAATACCTACTGCTTACTAAGTGCTCTGTACCAATCACTTTATATACATGTTCTCATTTAATCTTTACAACTCCCCTGTGAAGTCGGCACCACATTTTCCACACATGGAAACCAGCTCAGAGAGTGGTTCACAGATGATAAATAGCACAGCGGGGCTCTGATGCCAAAGTCTGGTTTGCACAATGCAGCCGTTACCATGCTGTTAGGGCACAGAGGACCACCTTGGCCTGGGGTGGAGGCAGGGATGGGTGGTGAGAGCAGTAGACTTCCAGGAGGAGCTGAGCCTTGGAGCAGGAGTGAGCTTTCACCAGGCCAGTGGGGGTGGGGGAGGGTCTTTGTGAACAGAGCCATGTGTGTGGACAGCAAGATAGGAGCACTTTAGAGGCTGGAGTGGGGGTGTGAATGGGAGCAGGGCCAGGGGCACGTTGCACACCCTCGAGAGTTAGTGCCTCCCTGAGTTTGTGCCCTAGGTGCCTCTCTTGCCGTGCCTTCATCCAAGCCCTAGCAAATGCTAGCATGTGGAGTTGAAACCATAAGGAGCATCGAGGAGAAGGATCTCAAAGAAGACCAATTCAAAATAGCCTATGAAATGCAACTGCTAGTATCTGGGCCCTTGCACCTGAAATAGACTCTCAGGGAAGAGTCCAAAGTGAAAAATTCAGGAGGGATGGAAATCTTTAAAATAACACATAATCAACCTTCTCCAGCCCAGATTCCCCACGCAGCTTTCTTCTGCCTGACTTTCAGGTGTTGTCTTGGATGTCAGTTCCTCTAGGAAGCATTCTTGGTCTCCCAAGCTTGCCTCTGGGTACTTGGGTTCCATTTTTGTAATTGCTCTTTGCTTTGTCCCAGCACCAGACTGAATTCCCTGCGGGAAAGGGCAAGGTCTTACTCACTCTTCCAACTCCAGTAGAGCTTTGACTCATAGTAGCCACTTGGTAAAAGATAGTCAGAGGAAAGAATAACAAAGAACCTCCAAAGAGCCTCTGTCAAATCTTTCAGGCCCCGTGGATCTTTTCCCCCTTGTCTCTGTGGTCCTACCAGCCTCAACAATTGGAATCTTACTCATGTTGGAGAAACCTTAAAAATCATCTAGCCATTGGGGCGCCTGGATGGCTCAGTCAGTTAAGCGTCCGAATCGAGCTCAGGTCATGATCTCATAGTTCATGAACCCGAGCCCCATGTCGGGCTCTCTGCTGTGAGCACAGAGCCTGCTTCAGATCCTCTGTCTTCCTCTCTCTCTGCCCCTCCTCTGCATTCTCTCTCTCTCTCTCAAAAATAAATAAAACATTTAAAGAAAAAAACATCCAGCTATCTCCTTCCTCCTAGCATCTTACAGATGGGATGACTGAGGTCCAGTTTTCCAACTATTTGCCAACACTCTCAACTTTGTGTCCCTGGCCACTATTTCTCCCCCAGCCAGACTCCAGACCCAGTCAGCTGCTTCTGCATGCCCGTATCCAGGACACCCCACAGTGCCTGTGCCCGAACACATCCATAACTGGCCTCAGCACCTCCCCCAGTCCTGGTCCTCCTCCAAGCTTTCTCAATCTGGCGAAGAACATCACCACCCACCCTGTTGCTAGGGCCGAGATGTTGGGAGCCCCTTGCCACCTCCCTCAGCCTCCTACCACCAAACACCAAGGCCAGTGGTTTCGCCCACCAAAATCGTAAGATGTCTCCAAATGCTCTCTGCCTCCTTGGCTTAAATGCCCCACAGCTCTCAATGGGCCCCTGCAAAATTGCCCTCATTAATTCCCCCAATCTTTTCTTTCCTTGTTCCAAACTATGCTCCTCACTGCAGCAAGAATGACCCTTAAAAAATACTTCTTTGTGGTTTCACTCCTTTGCTGATAAACCTTCAATGCTCTCTACTTAAAGCAAATTTAAATAGTAATTACTGTTATTATAGCTAACACGGAGAATTTATTATGTCCCAAGACCTGTTCTAAGGACTTTCTATATATTAACTCACTTAATCCTCACAACTATAAATATCCCCATGGTACAGATGAGGAAACTGAGAGTCAGAGAAGCACCTTCAGGGCTTTTTTGCATAAGCTCTTACCCTATCCTTGACTCTGGTCCAATTGACTGCTATTCACTTGAGATGAGGCACCTTGGAGAGCATTCTAACACCTCCCTTACTAGGTCAAGCCCTCTTAGGGCACATATTCCAGTTTGTAATTGTGTATTATTTTGGTGTGGGAGTCATTTGATTGATGTCTGCCATCCTAATAGACTTTAAATTCTGTGTTTTGCTCATTGTTGCGTCCTCAGTATTTAATATGTAACAAATGCTTGCTTGATATTTGTTGACTGGATCAATGAAAAGGGTTTTCAGTAGGAGAGTAGATGTGGGCAGATTTGTTTTAGAAGGATGTCTCTTGTGTGAAAGTTGGGAGATGCTGAGGCCTCCAAACCAAGTCACTGCCAGCAGTGGGTTCAGGAGTGAGAGGAGAGCAGTGTGGACAAGGGGAGTGGCCATGGGGGTGGATAGCAGCAAGTGAACCTGGGGCGTCTTTAAGAGGTAGACCGGGCAGGCCCTGATAATTAACTGGATGGAAGTGAGGACAGGGAGGAGTCAAGGGTGACTCCCAGGTTTCTGACAGAAGCAACTGGTACCTTGAACTCAGGTGGGGACTATCTGGGAGGAAAGAGGCAGGTTGGGTCAGCAGAGCAGGTGACCCCTAGACAAAGTCTACTGAACCACAGAAAAGTTCTCAAAATCATTGTGGCCAAACTCGAGCTTGGCTCTAGTACACTTGTCCAGCCTCATCTCTAACCTATCCCAGACTCAGGCTCAGACCGCTGCTCCTCCCCCCAAGCCCCACTCTGCATCCACCCAGATTTGGAAGTGTTGCCCCACTCCTTCACCCCTCCCTCAAACT